TCTCTCTCTCTCTCTCTCTTTACTTCGATCTCCTTTCGTACGACCACTCTCTCTCTCTTACTGATCTTCCTTTCGTAACCACCACTCTCTTCTTACCCACCTTCTAGAACACCACTGTTGTAACACCTCTCTCTCTCTCTCTCTAGGATGAAGTAGAAGGACATATGGCTTCTTGGCTGAACTTTAGGGCTGAGTGTTAGAGAGAGAAAATGAAAAAAAGGGCAGGTGATGGTGGCAGCCTCTGAAAAGCGGAAGCCAATTGGCAAATGGATTTGCAAAGTGGGATTGATTTTTTTTACTTGTCTTGTTAGAGAGAGAAGGTAGCTTTCTCACTCTTGGAAGCAGGGAAGCCGACAGAGAAACTTGCTGAGACCGATTGATGGAAGAGCAAGGATGGTAATAGACGGGCAGGGCTTCGGGTCATTGACGGCCCTGTTAACGGGCCGCTAATGGACTTAGGACCGCTCCGCTGTGAACAGCGATGCGTATCAGGCCGGTACGGGGCTTTAATGGGCAAGGACGGAAAATCCTAGAGGTTTTGCCCAGCGGGCATGACTAGCCACGCAGCCGAGAATTGCTTCGGGCTAATAACGTCAGTCAGCAGCCAATAGGGCCCGGCCGGGTCCATTTAGTCTTCTTTTCGTCTTTTTTTTTCTTTTTCTTTTCTTTTTTCTTTTTTTTGTAATCTTATTTTTCTTTTTCTTTTTTTTTTTTTCTTTATTTTTTGTAATCTTCACTCTTCAAGTTTCCAAGATAATGTATAAGAGACCATTTATCTTTGATACAAGACGGTCACAAATACTTACAACCATTTGATGTAAACTTTAATAGCTTTGATGTATCACAACGTTTGAAAAAATTTCTTTTGAAGATTGAGCTTGTCAATTGAATAATTGCAACCACCTAATGTCACATCCAATGGTCAAGATTATTGTGATCACATTGTATCAAAGGTAAATAGTCACATTTTATTCTTTTCCTTGTTTTTATATGTAATAAGCCAAATAAAAACAAAACAAATACATACTAAAATATTTTTTAGTAAAATTTAAAACCCATTCACTCTCTCTCTCTAAAAATCTAATCTCTCTCTAAACCAATTCTTAAAACCCAACTTCTCTTTTTCTCTCTAAAAATCCAATCTCTCTCTAAAAAAACTCAATATCTCTTTTTATTCCTAAAAATAATTTTCTCTTATCTCTCTCTAAAAATCTAAATTCTTTATTTCTCTCTCTAAAAACCTATTATCTCTCTAAAAATCCAATCACTCTTTCTTAAGGAGTGACTCTCTAAGACCCCAATCCCAATCTCTCTCTCTTTTACCTTTAGATTTGGCTTCTATTAGACAAAGCCCACATATGTAGAAATGCGGGCTTAAAATGGATTTTAAATTTTTTTAAAAAATATTTTAGTATGTATTAATACCATGCAAAAGTATTGGTGGCCCGGCAAACACATTTATACCATGCAACTTATAGTAAAGCTTCGATGTGGGATAACTCCCACACATTGTGCACTCAAAATCATTATAATGTTTAAATGGCAATTCAATGTACACTATTATTACATGGTGCAGTTGGTTATGACTCACAATTTCTTTTTGGACGTCTCAACTTCCCCCTTAAGCGCCATCCAACTTATTTTCTCAACGTCGAGCCCCTTGGGCGCCATCCAACTTATTTTCCTTGTCTAAAAGGAAGAAAATAAAGTAAAAGGAAAAAAATAAAAAATAAAAAGTTTTTCAAAAAAAATATCTAAACGAAAGAAAATAAAGTAAAAGGAAAAAAAAATAAAAAATAAAAAGTTTTTCAAAAAAAATATCTAAACGAAAGAAAATAAAGTAAAAGGAAAAAAATAAAAAATAAAAGGTTTTTTTTTTAAAAAAAAAAGGTAATACAATATATTTTATTTTGTTGTCAAAAAAACAAAAGACAATATAACAAGTATTAAAAGGTAATATAACAAGTATTTATTGTCAAAAAATAAAATAAAAAGTATAAAAAAATTAAAAGGTACCTTGGTAGCATCATTTTCCTATTTTTGTTGTCATAAAAAAAGAAAAGAAAGGTAATGCAATAAGCAAAAAAAAGTGTAGCACAACATCTTATTATTTTTTTGGATTTGTCATTATTTGTGTAATAAAATAATTATAAAATATAAATCAACAATTTCAATTTCAGTATATAATATTATAGTTAGTTAGGTTGTAATAATTTTGGATTATAGCTAGTTAAGGTTTTTCTTAGCGAATTAAGATTATAGCTAGAGATTTTAGTGGCCATTTTTTCATCGATTTAATTCATTTTTTATTGTAGTCTATGTATGATTATATACTTTACAGAAAAAATTTATATAGAGCCAAAGTTCTAAACAATCAAATTTGAACCTACTTCAAAACTTTCACTAGAAGAGGTTGTTTTGAAACCACAATTCTCGACACTATTTGAAAGTAGGCTCTAATTTGATTGTTTAGAGCCTAGGTTCTATACAAACCGCACCTATACTTTATCCATGATAATTCTATGATTTTTCTTTTATATGATGTAAATTTAATAGTTAACATAAGTTCATATAAGGAAATAACATATCAATATTCACAAATTGATGAAAAAAAATGAAAGTTAAAAATGCAGTAACCTAATTTTTTACTAAATTCCTAAAAAAAACATTTATAATGGAATTTAATAATTTTTTTGGATTTTTTTTAAAGTTTAATCCGACTGATTCAGTCGATTTTCGATCCGGATCACCGATTTATCGATCTGGATGGGTTTTTGGAGTGCCCGATCAAGGGTACCGATCCGTTTTTTAAACCACTCATCTAAACAGTTGCTCTCTCTATAGTCCACATGTTTCTTCTATGAAAAAACCTCAGAGAATTACAATTCGCAGTAACCATGTTTCTTCTATGAAAAACCAATGCTTCAATTGCTCTGATGATTTCTATCCTTTTTTAAAAAAATTCCCTCCGTTTCGATTCCTCTATCTCGGTCTAATATCAACCCCAATGAATCATATTTTGAATAGGATTTCTAAAGTTGGGTTTTAGAGAGAGTTTTTTTTGGGGAGTTGGGTATGTGGGTCGTTGGGAGTGGAGAGAGAAAAAAGGGGATGCAGAGTAGAGCAGCAGAAGGGGGATATTTTTTTAGTATTTTCTAGAGTTTTTTAGCGAGAGAGTTACTAGAAAGTGGGAGATAGAGATTTGGGGTGAAGGATTTGCAGAGAGAGAGAGGGATTTGGGGTCAAGGGATTTGCATATAGAGAGAGAGTGCAGGGGAGTAAGAGAGAGCGAAAGAAAGTGACGAGGGAGGCTCCTCGAATTGGGCGACGTACTGAGGCTTGGGGGTTTCAGCGAGAGGAGATCGGAGAGCTCCCAGGGAGCAACAGAGAGCTGGGGCAAAGGAGAAAAGCTTTCAGGAGGGAGGGGCCTTTTTAAATTTTCTAAAACATAATTAGCAAAAAAAAAAAAAATATCCCTACAAGAAAAATTTGAAGATAAAGATTTTTTTATGAAAATAATAATAATAATGGGTCGGACCAACCCCAATAAGCTTAATGGGATTTTTTGGGTTGGGCCAGCCTCCGCACAAAGTTAACGGGCTAGGTCGGACGGGCTGAGCCTCATAAATTTATCATGCAGGCCCGAGACAATTATGGGCTTTTTGGGCCACGAGTAGGCCCGGGTCTGGCTGTTGGCAGCCCTATATAAGTGAGGGAAAATTCAGGCGTATTTTTTTGAATTTGAGTTATTTACATACAGACATGAAAATAAAAAGAAAAGTACAAAAAAATATAGTTTTTACAAATATTACGGAAAAGGTTGGGTGACTCTCATTCTTTTTAAATTTATTTATTTGTTTTTTCTCACTTTGGGGTGATCCAGTCTGATATCCTAAGATTAGTACAATAAATGGTCTGAGACTGCTATACTATGACAATAGGGCACAAACTACCAGTCTGGGGTCTTGCACCTCGAACCGCTTGAACCTTATTGGTATGATATTTGGGACATCGTATAAACCACAACCTTACAAAAAATAAAAATATGAAAAAATTTAAATCGGTTTAATATTAGTAACATTGGACCAAGAGGCAACATGAAAAAATACAAAGGATGCGTATCAACCGACCTTCCATGTAATACTCATTAAAAAAAAAAAAAAGTGAGAAAGTGTGGAAAACAAAGAGAAGATGGGAAAAATGTTTTCCAATTGTCTTATCATGCACACGCTTACTTCCTATGGGCTTTTGCCGAGTAGCCCAAAGGAATGGGCAGTGTTTAGTGAGGGAAAAATCATTGAAGTACTGCTCTAACCCATTTGTCCTTGCCCAGTATGGACAACTTTTAAACTGGGGAATTCATTAATTGTTGAAGTAGATTCAAAACATGGTCTACCTCAGTGATTAAGATGTTAATGGTTGTAAATCAAGGAATGAATGGCATGCAACATCGTCTCTTTTAACCACGTTTGTAGAGAAGCCAATTCTATGGAGGATGATCGAGCAAAGAAAGGGACGTATCGTGATTCCTTAGCAATTTCTCATGTGTTTCTTTAATGTTGTATTGCTTTTGATCTAATAAAATTAAATATTATTGTCAAAAATTAATAATAATAAGTTTCTATAGGGCATAGGCTTTATGAAAACAAAATAAAGCTTCACCTCAAATCCTCGTTCGAAAAACACTTTCGGTAATGGAATTCTTCAGATGGCTCTAAAAT